ATAAAGATCTGTGACTCTGTTTTCTCCCTGGTACTGACTGATACAAATGACTTATACCTTATTTTATTTTGATGGGTATTGATTTACCATAGCTGAGTGGAAAGACACATTGTGCCTGTTTTTAGATAGACAAGATGTTTGAAATCAATGTTTTGTGCTGATAACTCTGCTGTAAAACACTGTGTTGATGGCTGTTTTATTTATCTTCTCTACACAGAATCTTTTTTTATTTTTTTATTTCTACAGTTATTTATATTTTTCTTACTTAACTTGTTCTGGAAACATGTTAAAGCTGTCATAAACCATAAATCCTGACCTTGAATTAACTTCCAAGTCTCTAACACTGTGACATTCCTCAGTGTGACTGAGACTCTGGAAATGTATTCAGCTTATCAGTTATTTGTGGCACAAGCAGCCTCCCCCTAACTCCCTCTCAATAAATACGGGGTTGACTAAGTTGATATGCCTCGGAGGCATTTTAAATATTCCCCCAAAAATATCTATTCATAAAGCGGGGCAACATAATTGGGTGATTTATGACCTTTTCACACCACTGGAGCGATTAACTGAAGACATCATTCAAAGCTGTCAATCAAACTGATTGTTCACATAAAACCAATAAGCAGCTGACTTTGAGAATAATGCCTTCAGAAGCCTTTTACTAAAGTGGCCTCTTCAAGACAGGCTCAGGTGCGTTGTTATGTTTTAAAATAGCACATCTGTATCTGAAAGCTGCACTGGCAGAAAGAGGAACAGAACCACAGGCACAGGTTATGTGCACATCCATGTTGCCATCTCATGAGGGACATGGTGTCAGTCTCATCCCAGTGCCCTCTTCTCACACAATGGTGGTCACAGACCTTGATTATGTTCATAGCTTTATAGTACATCTGGGACACATCTTCACATGAAGCTATCATTACCTTCAATTTAATGATCAGGCGCAGTGATTTGTCTTTATTGGTCTTCATAGACACACACACACCTGCATCTGCAGATCATTCCTTTGGTAATAACAGCAGGCAGAACGACTTGACACTAATTGGCTCATCATGTGAAGTGTGTTCTTGCATATGCTTAAAAAAGTACAAACCCTGGATGAGAAGGATGAAATTGTAAAGGATTTCATACTGATGATTGTATGACAAACACGATGTACTCTTTACCTTTCAAACAATATACTTCAGGAATCTGAGCGTTCTTGATGTTATTTATCAAATTCTTCTTCTACAGTATATGTACCTCCCATATGACGGACAATGTTTGTATATTATTAAGTGAAATCTTTATAAAATGGCTTCAATTGGCCTATCACGACCCCCCCCCTTTGGTCCTCAGGGCTGGCTGGCTCTGAGTCTAATTACCAGAGATAATGGAGGGTGAAGCTAAATGGCGCTGATGGGGTCCAGCAGAAGGTTATTAGGTGTCCTCATTAGTGCCCGAGTGAAGTGAAAGGAGGTTTAAGGTCTTATTCTGATCCTGATGGATGGTGTTCCTCTCAGTCTGTCTTTAGAGGGTGTGATTCCCCAGAGTAAACAACTAGGCAGGGGCATGGAGGGTGAGATGCGTATAAACGGGAGTGTGTGTGTGAGTGTGCATGGTTATGGTAATGGTGCATCCAATTTGGTACATGATTAGACATGATTATACCCAAGTCAGAGGTATATGTTTATTTGCTGTGTTAGTTACAGTTGGAATCTGTATTGCAGTATACATGTGCCATATGCATTGGCACCAATGCACAATGCATATGACCACCATGTGCCATATGCAGTGGCAGATTTAACAGTTATTTTGATTACAGGGCTAGGACAACCATCACAGTAAAATATGGCAGTTGTAATTTCATTTCTCTGTTAAAGGTTCAAAAAGACAAAAAAGAGTAACACAATGATCAAAGCAATTTATTTCTGTTTTATTGTATTACTCATAGTTGCTCAGACACGTGTATATACAAATACAGATAATTTTTTGTCAAATTTTTCGTTGTTGTCTATATACTGTAAAAGAGCAGGTTGGAAATATTCCCCACTGATGGCAAAGTGGAAGCGAGGTTTAAAGGTGAGGGAGCAGGAGAAGGTGGTGTGGTGGGGTTCATACAAGCACAAGAATGGGACAGGACAGGCTCACAAAATGAACAAGAGCTCATTGGCAAAAAGGGAGCTGATGAAAAGAGAGGCTTTGCCCTGCAGGCACAGAACCTGGATCGATGATAGGCATTACCCCGCTAACAATCCAGTTAAGGATTTGGTGCAGGGGGTGAACTAATCCTTGAACTGTGCCCAGGACTAACGTCTACTGTAGGGAGGAGTGATTCAGGGTTGTTAGAAAGGGAGAGAAAGTGAAGGGCCCTGTTGTAGTCTCTTGGACGCCAGCAGCCGTCCTGTGTAAAAGCACAATGGCAGAAAGCGTCTGTACACAGACGAGACTGCCAGGGCAGAGGCTGGAGGGCTAAGGCATGGGAAACACTCTTCGTTGCCAAAGAGGGTTGCCGCTTCCCATTCACTGCGGCAACAGCAAATGAGACACGCACACACACAAACTCAAATGTCTCACACGTTTTTTTCACACTGAAAAACGTCCACACGTATACACTCCCAGAACGCCTCCTCTTGGGAGAGCAGAAAGAAGATGAATAGTCAGGAGAGACAGACTGCAACTACATAGGATGAATTCAATAGATGGGTATGGAGAGAGTCAGCTTTAGGATAAATGAAAAACTTGCTTTTGAACTACAAAATGACTGTCCCCTACTGTAACTTCACAACAATGGTTTGTGTTATGTACATTTGTCATCTGTCACTACAGTTTAAATGACATCACTCAAATGGGGATGCAAAAACACACAACATGAAAGTGATCCAAAAATCTAACACGTCTTAAAGAAAAAGGAAAACAAGAGCAAAATAATACTTTCTTTAAAAAACTTTTTTGATATATTTTTTTTTTATGTCATCAAGTTCATGCGCATGCCACATAATGAAACTGGTGAGATCCTTCCAATAAAAAGCAGACCGTCCACTCCTGGCAGATCTTTAAGCTGACTAACATGCTTTCAAACACTGAAGGCAAAAAAGTACAAATAAGCCGTCCGTTAAGTCCAAAGTGTGTCTTTCCAAGGCAGGATCCTTATGAAGAGATGTGAAGGTTGGTGACTGGTTTGAAACATGTAACAGGTGAGCCAACCTTTTGTACATGGTGTACAGCTCCCACAGGTTTCCACTTCATATTAGCTCAAAGTTTCATTAGGCATTGAGGGTCAAAGCACACAATGCATTGTTTGAGTACAGTATACACTCCGCAAAACCCAGAGATAATACCGTATTCATTTTTTAGAAAAGACATAAGAACCAAATTAATACTTTAATATCAAACACTATTTACATCAAGTTTTCCTAATAATAATAGTCATAATCATCATCATAACAATAATAATAATTATACAGTTTAACAATGATCTAATTTTTTTGTCCTCCAGAAAGGTACAAAACAGATACTAACCTAACACTACTTGTTTTATGGTTGACTACCTCAGGATACACAGTATCCAGTTTATAAGTTGATCCTCATTTCCCATGTTAAGGTGTGTACAGAATAAACCATGGTAATAATAGCAATAATGACAAATAGTAGTATCGGTAACTATAAGAGAGTACAATTGAAGCTGGTTTCTGATAAAAGTCTAGTGTTAATCTGCTGACAAGCGTCCATTTTGTATCTTATGCGGTGCTCATTCCCTGTGGTGTTCTCCTGAAAATTAGTACCTCATTAGATGGCCTCGTCTCCTATTACTCCCCATAGCTGAGCTGCTATTCTGCTGTAATAGCATTGTTACCATAGCGTAAAAACAAATGGTAAAAGGCAAAGGCAGTCTTTCGGGAAAAATAAATGAAAAAAGGCCGCTACAAAAATGGAAAATAAAGCAAAAACATAACGGTGCATGCCTTCTGAGATAGCGTGATACTAAACAATAAGTTTGTCATTGAGTCAGGTGTTTTTTCAGTAGTGTTGCATGGAATTTAAGTTGTTTTGTCTTGTCGTGTTTTTTTAGGCACTGTAGTCACACCGCCTTCGGCTCTCTCCCATGTCTTTCTGACTCCCTGTGTGTTTGTCTCTCTGTTTCCTTAACTAACCAATTCTCTCAACTGCAAGGTCATTGGTGCTTTCAAACCCCCCACGATGGAAATCTACACCCCCCTCCTGAGACCCCCCAAGCCTTCCACCATCTATTTTTAATACCAGGAATAACTCCCCTTGCCACAACATGGGGTCCACATGCCTGTCATTTTGAACCTCATTAAAGAGTCACTTAAACCTGTAACATTAGGAGCTGAAGGTGGACATGCTCCTTTTCTTGCTCTGTTTCTCTCTATCTATCTTTCTTAACACTAGAACCGCCAGAGGTTTTTGTATACCTAAAACCGCCACCTGGGTCAAATTGACCCGCCATTAGAATGCATTGATTTTCAAGGTAAAATGTTCTTTTATTGAACAGTGAGTTTTGATCGCACAGGGATGAAACGTATACCAATAGAATCTGTGGACTCTCAGCTTTTCATATGTCACAGGGCTCGACATTAAAATGGACCGCTGGCCCGGAAGCATTATTTAGACACCCCGGCCAGCATAACGTACTTTCAACTCGCCCCACAGCTGTTTGCTGCGGAGCGCAGCGCGAGCAGTCTCCCGTGAGCGGGAGCGCACTCCTTCACTACAGACTGTCTCTATCTCTCTCTCTATCTATAACTATCTATCAATATATCTATCCATCTATCTCTCTCTCTCAATCTATCTCTCAATCTATAAGGAACCGCAGTAGACAAAAGGCGTTGCTATAGCAACACGTCATGTTTATATGAAAAGGGGTGGGGTCAATATGACCCGCTGGGCGGAAATAGGTATAAATGGCAATTTGGGCGATTTCTTCAATCTGACTTCACATTGACAATTTTTAACAACATAGGGTGCTACATAACACACTTTCAGGAAAAGTCACGGACTGGGAGACTTTAATATTTTATTGAAAAAAAGTTACATACAATAAAAAACAGCTCTGGGTCAAATTGACCCGATTGGCGGTTCTAGTGTTAACCAATTGGTGCCCTATTCTCAAACTAAAACTTGTCTCCAAAAGAAAGGAATTAGTTTCTCTATCCCCCCACATTTCTTGAAAACAAAGAAACACGGTCCATTCCTTTAAAAGAAAAGACGATAGCTTTCATGATGCTTGCATACCATGTGTATCTGTGGGAGCTGAAGGATGCTGAATGTCATTACTACACAGACATTTTTTTTTTATGTAAGTGCTAACATAAACCTGGCCCGTCTAAAAAAAGAGCTGGCATTGCTTTGAATTAAATGGAAAGTTTTTCTATTAACGCTACGTGTTTTCAACTAATGAGCTATGCATCAGGCCTGTAAAAGCTGTTCTAAAAACTGCAATAAACTAAATGTGAACTAACTAACATTTAATAAGAACGAGTCAAAGCTGTGGTTTAAGTGACAGTGAAAAAGCTATGGTACTGTGAATTTAAATGTATTTTCAAAATGTTTCCCATGACATCTGTTTTTCTAATTGAGGGGGCTGTCAGACAGTACAAAAATACATTAAAAAGTGTACAGTGTCTCCACTGAATATAATGTTTGAAGACACCATTGGCAAAAATAATTTAATAGTTTGAAAGTCTCCAATTTAGCTGTGAATCATTTTTTAAACAATCACTTAAACAATCAATATCCGATAAAAAAAGGTGTAAATGCAAATGTTTATGGGAGTGTTAATATTGATTAATACTCAAATGGAACGGAGAGAACAATTGCAGTCCTGCTCAGTAAACATTGCATTCAATGACTGTGACTGTGGCCGTGAAATTGTGTGATCAACTTTCAAAAGATATTGATCCTCGAGCTTGATAGCAGTCTACAAAGTGTCTGGTGAGAAAGTTTCAATTTAGCTGTTTTGTGAGTTGTGGTGAACCAGAGGTGTTTTATTGAGCGGACTGGCAAACTCTACACAAAGAGGGATGAGGAAAGAATGCCTCGTGTTTCAAAAGATTTTACACTCACTTGCTCTAAGCAGCTTATCCACCTTTACACACACACTTTGTATTCCTAAGAAAATTGGGCTCAACTTCAATCCGAGACAGTCTGAAGATTGGCGGGCTCAGGTGCATGCCATGTATGTATCTCTCAGTGCTGTGGTTTCAAATCTGACCTTGGCTTAAAAGCATTGCTCCTTTTTTCCAACATCTTCATCTTTCAGCTTTGAACTTTACTTCATTGTAAAATGGAGGAGCCAAAATCGGCTTCATATGAACCCAAAGAACTTATTCAAAACTATTTTCTGAAAGGCTTTTCAGAGGTCTCGGGACAATTTATTTTGTGTATGTACAGTTCTTTCTAAAACCTAGATGCTCTACATTCCTACTGTGTACTGCTGCTACTGTTTACAAGTGTAAAAAACCCTACTTCTATTGATTGTTAGTGTAGTTGTGTAGTTTGTATTTGACTCTCGAAACATGTTTCTGTGTATGTGCTGTTTATGTGTGTGTGGCTAAACATCAGTGCTGCAATGACATAAACATGATGTAAAGGGATGTCAAAAGTCACTGGAAAATAAGAATCACTAAGTGTCAAAAAAGGGATTTGGCATCTCAGTTGAAGGTTTGAGAGGGGAACTGTCTCTCCCACTTCCAAAATCAACTTTTGTTCACTCACAGACGGAGAAAGACCACTTAAATATATTTCTGAAAAAAAATAGAGGGTTCTTTGAGAAGCCTGCTCTGATGCCCAATCAAGCAAACACACTCCACCCAAATCCCGCCCCTTCCCTGCAGCCTCGGGCAGATTCAGGCCACGCTAGGTGTAAATGCCCTCCGGGGACAGAGGGGAGCGCTATAAAGTGAAGAGTGCTGATAGGCCGACCAGCAACAAAGCCAGGACTGGACTTGTTTTCTGCAGGTGCGTTGCAGCATTCGTTTCGTCACTTTTGGAAGGCTCAGCCGGTTCATGGCTGGTATCGTCTAAAGAACAGGAAAAAGGACCAAGGCGGTTGTTATTCATTGAACAATGTTGCTTCATTGCATCACAGACAAAAGACAACAATATACAATTAATGAACTTCCATATGTTTTAAGTGTGCCATACAAAGCTGTGAGCTATATTTGAAAATGAATACCAATTGTGGAGACTTCGTGCATTATGTGGGAGATGTTTGGGCTCATGTTTATTAAACTTTATGAAGTTGTTGCAATGAAGTCTGAGTTGCCTTATGAACTTGGGTTGCTATTTCATGCTTCAAATCATTTTGAATTAAATTCCCAGGTGAGGTGCCTCGTGTCTGCTTGGCATCAGTGTGTGCCCTCTGCACCATGGGGAGCAGCTGAACCATGCACAGCAAAGGATAGATAGACAGGAAAGAGGACCCGGGCAGTTACATCATTATATAAATGTGTGTGTGTTTGTTGTTTGTTCAGTGTGGAGGGACATGGCAACAGTATATGATGGTTGAATGCTTTAAATTCCCTTCTTTAGAGAGCGTTTTAGAGGAATGAGCCAAAAGAAGCATGCAAGGCGTGAGGCAGCCCTGAAAGAAGCAGGTAGATAGAACATCAGGCAGGACGAGAGGAAGATGGGCGTCATCAATGTCCTAGGATCTGGCCTTGTGGATGTGTGTGTCCCATTTATACACTTTGAACGTCATAGTAAACCTCCAATTTCAGATTGGAATACTTTAAAATAATGATTTCATATTCATAAACAGTCTTTTTTTAAATGTCATATGTTGGACAGGCTGTTATATATTCCCAGCGGGGCTTTTTCTGATCTTTGGGTGAGGTCCTGCTGGGAATGAGACGTCAGCATGTGGGTGATGTGTTTCAGTTCAGTGACTGGGCTAGACTCATGTATGAAGAAGACATAAAACCCCTCAGCGTTCTGAGCACTGAAAATAATCAATGCTGTGCTACAGAGCAAACAGCAACTCAGTGAGGAGCGAAACAGAAAATAAAAAATGGCAATGCTTTGGATGTTTCATAAATATATGTGTATGAACATATCATTAAATTATTATTTGTTTACACCGGTCAGATTGTTTAAAGCACCTACATTACTTATGTATTGGGTCAGAAGAAAAACACAAGTTATGTTATGGAGTACAACATGCAGTTGGAAATGACATTTAGGGTTAGTGAAAAGGTTTGAAAACAGTGTAAAAATGTGAGACATGCACTTCTATGAAAAAACCTCACATTTAAAGTAACACATTCATGAAAGCAATATGTTTGAAATTCATTATAAACACTAGTCAGTGTATTTCAAAATATATATCACCATGCATCATAGTCCATCAATACAATATACAAGCAATAGTAACAAGGCACAACATCTGGAGAAGCATCAGGCAAGAAGTGGAAGGACACCTCAGCTTCCAGGAAACGGCAGAACAGAACACAGAGCAGGAGACACATGTACAGATGTATGGAGGTCATACTGAAGAGAATCAAAAAAGCAGGAAGCCATACTAACCTCGTGGTTCTAATGTATTGTCTAGTTTGTCGTTTACGTCAAAAACGCGGTCATGTACGCCTATAGTTTTCACACAGCTGGCTATAACAGAAAATAGGGAGAATGAGAGATCATTAGAGGTTTATGCCAAATAGGTTAGTGACATTTGAAGCCCCCCCCCACTCAGCACTGAAATTAAACATCCCAAGCAACAAAGCTCATGGCAACATTCAGATGAGGTATGAAGTGACCTGGATTTCATTTAATGTGATTATATATCAACCTTTTCATGTTAAAGAAAACTTTTTCTTGGTGGGGAAGTTTTTGTGATAAATGAAAGGGATATGTTGGACAGTGAGCACAAGGTGATTGAGGAGGAAGTGAGGTAACCAGAGAAGTAGACATAAACTGTTTTGATTTTCAATCCAAATGTGTACTTCAACCAGCTCGATTACAAAGCCTTGTGTTGGATGCAAAAACGTACTTGATGGTCGGACGAAAACTTTGAGCTTCAGGCATGTTTTCCTCCCGTTCTCAGCAATGGTGGAGGCTGAAAAACAAAACAAGAGACAAATATAAAGAGGATGTTAATAAAAGACTAAATGTAGCATCACATGTGTACTTTACATATTTCTGACTGTGTTTTCCCCTTTAGAAAAAGCTCTGCATGAATAGATGTTTAATAAGGACTACTTTCTTCCCTGTAGACTGAGGTAATCTATTCAGAAAAAAAAAAAATGGATGCTTAATGTTGACTCTTAAAAGGATTTTGTAGGGTTAGTCATGGTTCTTGTACAATTATAGCCAGAAAGTATTTGCAGATGTGTTAGGCAAATGTCTCTTGGGAAACCTGAGTGCTGCGTCCACAGTTTAATTGAAGCGTTTTAGAACAACTGGCAGCATCTTAAAAAGGATCAAGTACATTTGCATCCTTTAAACAATGTTCGAAAGATATCATGTTGTGCCAACACGTCGCATGTTTACTATATGTATTTTTCCATCAATAACAACCTCAAAGCTCTTCTAGCGACACAAAGTTCACACACCGAGGATACAGTATATGTCCTGCATGCGCGGATGGTTTGTGGTTGCTGTCAGGAAATGGATCCCTTCCTGTCAAGCCCATCGGGTGTGAATCTCTGAGTGTTAGCTACCATAGTGGTTGTATCACATCTTCTAAAAATATCTCATGCGGAGAGCGTGTGCAAGAGAGTTTTGTGTGTGTTCTTGTGTGTATGTTTGTGTGTGTATTTGACCACTAATGGTGTTGTGTTGAGGCACCAGGTGCTGTCTCCTGTAGACAGAATAGGGGTCAAACACATGTCAGCTAGAGCATGGGGGCTGTGCAATGTGTGCATCCGTCATGACAGCAGGAAGTACAGTATTTAAAAAATGTATGCTGTTGTCTCATGTCAGGACCTAATGCACCATATGTCCCATTATTGGGATATATTAACGCTATTTATTGGTAACTAGTTTTCATTTCCATTATCCCCTCATCTCCAGAGAAATGGTGAAGTGTCCACTTATATGTCTTTCGGGCATCATTTTATGTCTTCTGTGGATCATTCCACAGCTGATGCAATGAAGCCAAGCATTTCCAAAGGCTACCATTTGGGATCTGTCAACTCCTCTCTAGTGAACCTTTACCTTACCCCTCCTTTCCTTCCCCTCTCTCCCAGCTGTGTCACCCTCTCTTCTCGTCTGTCAGCGTGGCCATATCCATTCATCAAAGCTCAACTGACTCGGCTTCATCATATTTTACAGCACACAGCTACCAATGCGTGCACATACATATGCCCATGCATACAAGATGCAGATTTGAATGTCTACCTGTGTGTTGTTCAACGTCCTCTTAAATAACAGTATTTATGTACAATACTCTGATCTCTTTCTCTCTGTCTGCAGAATGTTTTACATTCAAACATGTTTGTAGACATTGCTGCAATCAATGTTCCAGCATATATTTTATGTTAAGGCCGTCTCTGAAGCCTTATGTTCATTAAGATAATTATTGACTAATAACTTTGGAAAAGGGTAAGAAAAGATGGAAATCAAATCCTTTCTTGCATGGTCTGTACACCCGATTTAACCTGAGATCAAGATGCCAGTTTTTAATTAAATGCATTTTGCGTACTCTTTCAATAACTTCCTCTGTGCGGAACCTTCTTTACAGCTCATCAAGCTCTCTCTCTATCCCTCACAACCTCGCCGTTACATTTTAATGTTGTCGCTTCATCGGCTATTTCTTAGTTATGTGTCAGTGTGTAAGCTAGGTGACTCAAGATCAGACGCCCTTTTTCACAGCTCAGTTCATATTCAGCAGATGCAGAGAGGGAAGAAAGTGAAGGCAGTAGAGAAAGGGGGCCTTATTATTTCGGTGTGGAGGCAGCCGATGACACACTAATGAACCTTGACCACAGCCGCTCACCCACTCAGTCATGTATACACACCAGTACCCACACAATTTATGTCACTCTTCTTATTGCTCCACTTCTCCTTCCACCACAACTTAATTCACCCATATTTAATGTGTGCACACAATGGGCAAGCACACACATAGACATACATCTCCAGATGTCTTATCTTCATCATTGTGGCAGGCAGAGCTGAGTCGCAGAGCTGAGTCGCAGCCATCGACACCAGCCACTTAGCAAACGCAGCTGATCATTACAGAAGTATGGCCCCGATAAAAATGGCAAGAAGCATATGGGAGTCTCTGTCATGATGACAGTGGGTGAAGCTGTTGTGATGTTTAGAGATGTGGCTATATCACGCTATCCACCTCCTACACACAGAGAACAATGAACAAAATGTGCGAGTGAACAAATATCAAGATTGTGTTATAAAACTACCTTTCACCAATTGTAAATTCATATTTACACTGGAATTCATTCCTTGATCATTTGCAGGAAAAGTATAAGGCTTAAACTCCTTGGTGAAAAATCAACTAAATCAATTCAACTGAACTTGGATGTTGCCATTGTGTTGGCATGCTGCAGATAACTGATGTGCGTTGCTGTACATTTTAGACTACAAAGGAAAGATTAAGGTTTGGCTCTACATTCCTTTCTTGCTAACAGCTCTTCATACTGGTGTGTTTGATGAGGATCCCTGCACCCGGGACCAAACTGTCCGCGACAGCGCCTGTTTATTTTGGATTAACATGCTGCTGAGGGCCAGCTTATTGTTCTTGCAGGCTGTAACATCAACACCTACTATTCTGGTTCCCATCAGGCAAGCAGCCTCAACCATCAATCCATCCAGCCTGAGCAAGTGGCTGCTTTGAAGGACAGAGGCCCTGAAAAGATGTCCCAGAGACCGGAGGGGGAGGAAGGCGGGGGGGGGCGAGGTCGGGTTACTCCTCCAAGCCATGTCCCCTGGCTAGTAATGGCTGGTCCCCTCAGTACACTGCATTATGCATCAGCATTAAGGCAAATGGAATGAAGCAGAATCCAATTACGGCAGAACAAACAGGTGGGCTCAGTGCGGCTTAGGCACAGTATTGTTTCAATCACAGCCCAAGCCAAGTTTTATTGCAACTGTAATGTTATCTGGAAAACACATTTCCGTTGCCTTTCAATGAAAGATTCAACAGCACATTCCAGACATGAGGACATAAAACATGTGTCTGTCGGGATGGGAATCTAAAGCAAAGTTTACGCTGGCTAAATGCAGTAGATGATATCATGGCAGGATATTGAATTCTGAACCATCATTTAGGAGGTGCAATGGCTCGGCTGTAAAAGAACACTGCGAAACTACAAGTAAAAGCTTTTTTTGCTAGACTTTTACATTCAATCAGTTAACCAAGATGTGCTCATTTGATGGAATCACCACAACCAGAATGCTCAATGCAATATTGCAGACTAGTAAGCATTGTGTGAGTGGTTTACAATCATTTGTAGAGTAAAAGTTTAAAGTTCCTTCTTTTGACAACTATGTTTAAGAATCAATCCATTGAGACGCCAAATCTCCACAAATCTGATAACATACTGTGACAACCAACGCTTAACTTTTGATATAAAAGTATTTCTCAGCGAAGAACCCCAGCTCTCTAAAGTCATGTATCCCATGATGTGAAAATGCCAAATTATTAGCATCATGTTAGCATGCTTCTAGTCGGCAACAGGCCTCCAGCTGGTTTTAATAATGGTGCTCTAATCCTTTGATCCCTGCTTATTTGTTAGGATGGGGCGGGTTAAACAGAATGCCCTGCAAAGTTGTGTCCAGCGCTGAGCATTCCTAGCGAGCTAATTCTGCCAGCTCTCTGAAAAAAAAGCCGCTGGCCTTGTCTTTGATTCACTGAGATTACTCATGTGGATTTTAGGTCCAGGAGTCTGAGTTTACTTAAACCGGTGTCCAAGAGAGCGGACACACATTGACAAAACATAAACACATGCAAAGCTCCTTTTCAGAACATTTGTGCCATCTACCCTCGTCTCCAACCATTTAATTAGACAGTTTGCAGCCAGAACACATCTCTTCCATTCTGTGTACAGAAATCACTGCCGGGATTCATTAGAGTCTCCTTCGCTCTCAGGTTGTGGAATCAGTCAACAAGGACAATGTTAAATAAAAAACACCCAGAAAAAACCTTGAATATAAGAGAATAGTGGGAGTTTTAGACAGAGAAATAGAGAGAAAATATGTGTATGACCCCTTCAATAGGTAATATTAACTTCTACACTGTCCAAAGTAATTTCTTTAATGCCTACAATCGCACACACATACAGTGCAGTTCATGTGAATTTAAATTCTTTTCAGACGTACTCGAAATGACTGAATGTCCTTCACAAAAAGTCCTTTCCACATTCAACCAGTTAGCACACATTCTTACCAAGACATCGTGGAACGAGGGAAAGAATACAAACTGTATGTGTGGTTGTATGCCCACACAAAATGTGCGCGTGTAAGAAGATGGAGGAGACTATCCACTGAAGAGGCTCATTAACCAGATGCTACCACAGCGAACACACAATAGGAGGGAAGGAGGAAGCTGGGAGGAGCAGTGAAAGAGGAGGACTTAGATTCATACAGCCGAGGGAACATAAACTGTCCCCCCCGGTGATATCTGGCCTTTTGCTCTTTCCTTGCATCTTACAACCTCCGCCAAAAAGGAACCAAAGTCATTTCTCATGCCGCTTACTCCGAGGTGAAGAGGTTACAAGCAATGAGGAAAAGAGTGAGAGAAACATGGGGAAAGAGCAATGAGTCGAGATGGAAAAGTGAGTTGAAATCGATAAGGCCTAATTAAACAATGCACTACTTTCCTCGCAGAGTGTGGGGACAAAATCATTTGCATCTGCTATTATTTAATTCTACATCAAGTGTCATTATTTTGTTAAAGATAAAATAATAATCTAACAAATCACTTGAAAATGCAAAGCAACTAGAGTCAGTTAACCTTTGAATCAGCTCATTCATGTCTTCACACCCAACAATAATGTGCTTTTTTAATCTAAAGGGGGTTTGGCTTTTTAAAGCAGCCACACAATAATTAATACCTGTATATAATATGGTTTCATTACTGCACTCAGTGTGTCCCAT